TTGGAAGTATTCTTCAATCTCCTGAAGCGTACGATCCTTCGTTTCTGGTAAAGCAAGGTAAATGAAAATCCCTTCCAAAAGAGAGAAGATGCCGAAGATAGTGAAGATTCCCGCTGTGCCAACTAGGCCACTTATCTTTAAAATATTTAATATATTCATCACTATAAGTTATTTCAATAAATTAAGAAATATATAAATCATTTTAAATTAAATTTGTTATGACAGGAGTGCTGCACAAATTAACTTTTGAATCTTATAATGCGATGTTTTACCCATGGGAAGCATTTGGTCATGAAGAACAGAAGCAGATTAAATGTGAAAAAGATGCATCCGCCACCGATGCCACGAGCTCTCAGAGGCATCAGTTCGCCGGTCATCAGCCCAGGAAGCGTCAATAGACCCACGGTGTTTGCGCCGACGTAAACCAACAAGCATACTGCCAGCACGTAGACCTGAGATTATTTGTTAAGTTTATTAACACATTAGAAAAATTAAAAAACGTAAAATTAATCATAACACTCACATCCACGGAAGATCCCCCCTTCCTGGCGATCAAATATCCTGCGAGAATCAACGAGGCCAAAGACGTACCAACTGCCGAAACGATGCCTAAGGTACGTCTGCCCATTTTAAGTAACAACACACAAGAGACGAGGGAGAAAATAAACCTGATAACTGCCGTCACCACAGCCGCCAAATAATTATCCACGTTACCGTCACCTACGAGAAACGGCATGATAAAAATTTCTGCACTCTGTCTCTCTTGTTATCTTATCTAGTTTAGGATATTTTTACTATAAAGTTTGCAGATGGAAATTAAAGTTTCGCCAAAGAATGATATTGAAACTCTTTCTCACCCATGTCTTTCACCATGTCAACGGCGTAAAAGACGATAATGTATGTTCCGCTGCTTAATTGAAGCGCGTTGAATACATTAATGATGATCAGTGGTTTCCACACGCCCGGATCGCGAATTGTGGATATCGCCGAGGAGATCTTCTGCGTAAACGAGCTATTTACAGGCTTTCTAGCGAGATCGGCTTTTATGCTTGCATCCAGGAGCTCTATCTCCGTAATCATCTGATTAATTAAAACTATTTTAATTATTTGAAACACTGTTACGTTAGCTTCGTAATTTAGCTTGATAAAACTTTCTTGTATTACTAAAATGAGAAAATTTCAAGTACCTACCTGCTGAACATCGCCACCTCTGAGCCACAAAAGAGCTTTCTTGGCCTCGTCTATTTTCTTTCGTCTAATCAGCCAGGCGGGACTCTCGGGTATCAAACAAAGAGCGATAAAAGCCATAGCAGGAAGTATAATAGCGTAGAAGGCCACGATGTCCCAATTAAAAGAAGCGCCGAGAGCATAAACTAGCAGAATTCCGGCGCAGTACGAGGCGAACGAGCCAACCACCAGGAAGCCGCGGAGTCCTGGATAAGCCGTTTCTCCTACCAATACCTAACGAATTTAAAGACTACAATATACAGTTTGAAATAATCATCATCTTTTCTATTAATCAAATTTTAACAAATAACATACAAATAAATAATGTAATTATTTAATTAAAGGTAAAAGAATTATATTTGAATTTAATATTTGAACAGAACGAAATTTCAAGTAAAAGAATTTCTAATTAATTCCATTATGTTTGTCTAATAAATTAAATGCGTTTATTTGTGGAAAACAGAAAAAGCGATAGACAATACCTATATCGCTCTAACAATACCACAAGTTTTTGTTACTACACTAGTAGCAAAAGTTAAGTAGTGAGATAAGTTGAAAAACCGATCGATAAAATAAATAGTAAAAGCCAAACACAGCGAATCAAATGGTAAAAGTTCATTCGTGATCAGAAATAAATTGAACCGATCAGCAGAAATATAATTGCATTAATGTCAATGATGCGTTAAATGTTATTAAATACTTGTCGTGCGCCAAGTAATATTTTAATATAGAAAATGTACGATAATGTACGAATTAAATAAAAGCGTGTGCAAATGGAATCGAATTTCAATATAATTTTTTGTATAAAGAGGTGCAAGGCGCGCGTTGATTTACGTCCAGCTTCGGAATCAATCGAAAATTCTTTTACCATAAATTTTATATTATTTAAATATCAGTCATGAAATTTAAATAGAGTTTGCACCTGCGCAGGCACCGCCATGAATCCTACAGACAAACCGCAGATGACTCTTCCTACTAAAATAGAAGTCACGCTCCTCGACAAACCGATGATCAACCAGCCTATGCACAGGGGAATCACCGATAATTGAAGGCAACCTCGTCGCCCGATCGCATCGAGAAGCGGTCCTGATAACAACGCGCCGATAGGAGTGGCCAAACTGTGAACTGAGGCTGCAAACAGATAATTCGTCGCTTTAATAATTATATTGATCCACGTGTTTCTATAAAGAAATATAATTATTCCATCTTATCCTTTCTCCTAACATCCTCTTTATAAATGATCTTAACTCTTCTGCATTACAGGCAGGGAGATAAGGGATTTAATGCACTTTTCTCATCCGTTTAGGAATTTGTGTGCCATAAAAAGTTAATGAAATTGTCTGAGCGCGACGTAAATGTAGATTTATGCGTTGATGAACGCATTTAACAGCACATAGCTGCGGCCGATTGTAAAATTCTTACGAGCTTTGTTAAAACGTTATACATCGCGGAACGTAACAGAACAATTAACGGTCTATTTACGATCACGTGTAGGTATATCTACCCTATTATTGGACCGAGCGTAGGACGCTTCTGTTTTAAATGTTAAAAGTTTAACTCGCAATGACACGATCATAATCGCTTATTATCATCGCGTACGCGATTATCGATACGTTACACGGTATATATGCCTCGTGCAGGGAATAATGTACTGAAAATTTCTATCGACGTCGCGGGAAGAGCTATTGAGTCGGATTACTCTTGCTATTATTCAGCGATTAAGAGGATCAAGATTATAAATATATTGCTGCATACTTGAATTGAGACGATCATCAGCGTAGATATGAGTTCTTGCCGGGAACGAGAAAAGTTAGCCCGCATCGTAAAAATTTACATCTTATAATTAGAAGAATAATACACTCAGAAAACCTCCAAAGTGATAACTATTTTTTAACTTTTACTCGATAAAGTAAAAACTTTGACTAGCGCGATCGTATCGATGATCTTGTTATTAATCTCTTATCGGTATTCGATACATCAACGAAATTGTCGTCGCGGAATGCTAATGCTCGTAGCATTAGCTAATTAATGCAAATTGCAATTCCATTTCTTCAATCATTGTAAGCTGTCGACATTCTCCATGCAATCATGAGGAATGCAATTAGATCACACAGTAACGCGCTGTACATTGAGTTTGTCTTTTTATCGTATTGCTTCCACTTTAATGAAATTAAAGGGATTCGTTACACATACCTCTGTCAGAGAAAGACAATTTTACAGTTATCCAAGTTTAATCAGAAAAACGCAAAACAGCTGCGAATTCACGACTCGAGAAAAAAGTTGCTGAATATGTAGATGTAGAAGCACGAATGAAATAAATTTATCGTACAATTTATCGTACGATTCATTTTATTATTAATTTAATGTACTGTATTAATATTTATAGAGTTTTTAATTTTGTTTCATTATTTTTACATTACACATAATTTTCCTCTTTTGATATAAAATAACGTTTAAAATAGATTTACAAATCCATTGATTTAAATCATTTTTATTATAAAGCTGCAATTATATTTCTTTAATGTATCGTATGACTAAATTTCGATTAAAATCGATCTCCAGACGTCGAGAAATGTTGTTTCGTGTGGCACGTGTGGAACCGACACATTAATAATACATGCGACTGTGACGAAATATTTTAATCTGTTGACGCGACGGGGCTTATATCCGAGTGGTGGATACTGAGGCGTCACCCCAAATGACTGAATAATGATTCTTGGGACTTTTAGGAATCATCGATCATCAAACGAACATAATAAAAGATGCATACAACTGTCCAGGGACGACTGTCGTTCGTGATAGATGGCAAAATAAATTTCGAACTGTAATGGCAAAATTATTCGTGCGAAAGCCATCCACGGCACACGGATCGCAATTTGATCTCGCAATATATTTCATGTCAACAAATTTTCAACACGTGCGTGATTTATATTTGCAGAATAGCTCCTTTAAGTCCCATTCGATCGCCTTATGCATGATCTTGTGGACAGAGACATTAAAAAGAGAAGGATTTTATGTCTGTATCTCGATCTGCAATTTTAGAATAATTAAAAACTCGGCGCGACATTAAGTGATAATGTAGACAGATAGTTTCATTATTAAACATTATTCTTTAATTAATCTCTCTCTGTTATCCATATTGTTTTTTTTTTCGAAGATATTTTATTGGTTCTTATAAATGTAAAGCGATATCGCGAATTCTTATGTTGCTTCGCGTAAATGCATGACTTTTATAGTAGCGTACGTCCGCCATTTGCAAACTGTAAAATGTATAACGCTGAGCATCGCAAATTTTATGACGTGATAAAATATACTTTTACGCCGTAAGTATAGTGATATAGCATTTTGTGCGGACGCTGTTGTTTTTCGCCATGTACACTATATTTAGGATGGTAAATGTATTTTGCGAAGCTCTCATGTGCGATATGCATGATAAATGAAAATATATAAAGAAAACTGTTAAAATTTATGCTGCGACCGTTGTTCTCCCTCTGCGAATTATAAAAAGATCGTTCGACCGATTTAAATGACACGTATGAATAAGGGTCGTACGTTTTTTGTGTGATCTTTTAATTATGACATTGCGCGTTATCAAGGCCCACATATGTAGGCTTCAAACGGCTTCCTACACGAACTTGGTCTTGACACTCATTGATAAAGAGACAAATCCAATTATCCAATGAGACAGTATGTAGGTCAGTTACAGAATGCGGTTTACAATAATCGACGACGGTCACTTCATTTGCGCGAGGGTCGTGATAGGGATCAACCTTGAACCTGCTTGTTGGTTCTTGAACTCGCAAGGTCTGCGAGAAGATCTCTCTAATCTCACGCATCAAAATTGCAAAATGTAAAATATGAACGTATGAACCCTTTTACAAGGTAAAAATTTATAAAAATTTATTAATTTGAAATTAAAATTTCTTATATACTTTGTAAGAATTTTTTTAATATTTTCTGACTCATATCCTTTTATTAAAAACAGAATTATTAAGCGTGCGGGTCTTACCTATCCAGGAGCCAGTTTCGCGAGTCACATACAAGGTACTATTATTTTCTTCGGATAATTGCGGCAACAAAACGGCGCTGTAACCAATAGGTATGCCGCCTCCCGTCGCCACCAATAATACTGCACCTGTTACTAAACACTTCAATCGACAAACAATTCAATCGTTAGTCATTTGATTGTGTATTCGCCGCAATTGTTACAACGCTATTATTTTGTAATATTTTATTCAACACAATAATAAATTAACGAATAAGTGCACGACCACGATTCAAAGTAAATTATATCATTAAATACAGCTGTAAATCGAAATAATTAAAAATGAAAAAATGTCAGTCATTAATTGTAAGTGATTGATTGTATAAATTTTATATTGCGGTGAAAGATTAATGTTTGCAAAGTACATATGCTCTTCGGCTCTTTTGCCGAGTTCTTTTGCAAAGAAACTGAAGTCGCGAGAAAGAACTTTGGAACAGTTCCCAAATAGATATACTGTCGCGCACAGGAGCAAACCCGAACTAATCGAAAAGAGGATAAGAAATCTGTGGTTGACAACTAGCCAGGATTTACAATCGCTTCGCTGCTCTCTTTCTATAAAACTTAAATCGCTATTATGTCACGTGGAATTTGTCTCGTTTCTGCAGTTTCATATAGACACTGACGTAAACTGCTGCGGGATATTTATGCGCCACGTGCGACGACCAAGGTAAAATACGCTTCAGCAGAATTCTCGCTGCTCGAGATATGCAGATACGTATCTTGCAAAAAGCAACAAATAAACGGACAAAAAATGTAAGCAAGTGTATGAGCAGTCTTTTACTGAGAAAAGAGAACGATTTTACTTGTTACAACGAAACGCAATTTCCGTATTACAGAGACACTGACAAGACACAATTTATATTTCATAGTAAATGTAACTGCGTTTTATTTACTTAAAATTTAGAATTTTATGTTTTGCTAATGGAATATTAGTATATAATTCTATATTTAGCAGTTTTTTTTTAATAATATTTAGGTATATTGTTGCAGGTGATGCATTACGTTACATTTTCTCTCCGAAAAGATAAAACGCGCAATAAGAAGAAAGCACAGGCGATGAAAAATGGTAGTATGTGCCGTGTTTGGTACCTTTCTATCTATTTTTAAACAGAAAAATGTTTTGGCATTAATCCAAAATATCTACGTTGATCCACATGCAGTGCAGCCGCGTTGCAAATTTTTTTTTTGTGAAAAAGTTACCAGTTTACATGTGAGTGGTAGTAAACAAAAGAAAGATTTTGTTACGCACGATAATATTTTGCAGTAGTTTTCGATACGTTGAAAAATTTTTCGGATTTTACAAAGCCCACTGCTGTACGCATTGCGATTTAATGATTCGGTTTAATGATGCAACATTAAAGAAAATTATCTCAAATATAAACAGTTTCATATGTATATCTATTTTAATGTATTGTAATTATATATTTTACCTGCGCAAGAACTCCTTTCGAATTCGATGAATATTGCACAGTTGCTTCCTTCTCATTTAAAATGTTCTTTTCATTCTTGGCATTGTTGTTATTATTATTATACTCGACGTCTAATGGACTCTCGCTCTTTGAATTGTAGCCCATCATGGCGCGCCCTTCTTCGCTGTAACGATTTTGAAAAGTGCAAAAGTACATTTTCTAATTCGTTTCGACAAGCATAATTTTTATTTTGTTTTAAATTACGTTACCTCGATTCGAGAGCCATATTGATTCAATTGAAATGCGACAGCTGGAGTTTTTAAATATCTCCGATAATCATCGACCTCCGGTCGCGAGATGGGCGTCTCGATCACTACATCTATCACCAACAAGTTCTGGTCACGTTTGGCACCGCAACCCTACTGCAGTTTCCGCTCCGCATTATGTAAGCCAAGAAACTCTTGAGACTTTAATCCTGTCCTCTCTCAGAGAGCATAACAATATCTTCTAAACATAAACCTGTTTTGAGATAAATAGCAATAATTTTCTAGCTACAGTTCTTTTTCCTAATAAAAAATTTGCTACAGATATCTTATGATTATGTATGAAGCAGCATCTTAATTTGAAACGGAACTATATGAAAGGAACGTATATCAACTTCAAGAAAGTCTGTTTCTTCTTCTAATGTTTTTAAAGAAACTTCCATTTTTTTAGTTGCTGTAGTTATTTAGATATACAAGTTATAATAAAAATAATCATTTCAAACAGTAGAGACAAAATATTGTTTTATCCAGTGCTTTTATTTGCTATTTCTCGGATTATATTTTGTAGTTGATTTATATCGAATGTTCTATATGTAAAATCTTTTTTTCCACACCTTTTATAATGGTTATTATAATGTTTGGTCACATTTTCAATTTTCATTTTTCAGCTTTGCAGGAAAGCATAAAAAGACGTCGTGTTATCGACTTTCAAAGAGTTCTCTAGCTAGAATATATATAATTTATGTAATATTAATGTTATAACCAGAAAGATAGACTTTTCTTGTATTTATTTGACGCAAATCTCCAACATCTTACATACTCGAATGCGTTATAAATTTACGATATAGTCTAATTTTTTACGTTTAATGTATCATTAACTTTTTTATATGATATAATAATTGCGCACATTGTCTTAATTGTTACGTTATTAAAACTATTCGATAAATTCAATGACGCTTGAACCGATTGTAGTTTCGCGTTTATAACTTCTTTAACATAGAATGATATTTATCCAAATTTTACATGTATACCAAATGAGGTTACAAATTATTCATAAGAATCATGAATTTCTCTTGAAGCTTAATTTATTGTACACTTAATATACACTGAGAAAAAAATTTTCTGCGTTTTGATAAATATTAGTTTGCATACAACTGTGATTTTATTTACTAAAATGCAGGAAATTTTTGTCTCAGTGTAGTAATTTTAAATTTTTGCAAATATGTTGTATTTTTAGCAAAACAAGATTTTATTTGTACTTTATTCTTTTATATTATAAAAAGATTTCAAAGAGCCAAGAAAATATGAAAATCGATAATTTTTTCTTCAAATACTACGTTTTATACGCATGAATATCTTCCTCGGAGCTCTCTGCATGAAAAGGAATATATTCCAGAACTGAACGCAATACTATAAAATGAACGAGTATCGGGGAAAATAGAAAAAAGAAGAGAAAACTTACGATCTAGTTCAACTTCCTTTCCCTGGTTTCCCGGCCTGGGAATGAAAGTCACGTGGAGCTCGCGACTTCACGCGCGGATAGTCTCATTCATCTCCCCGGCGAACATTGCACTCCCGTCTGCGGATCGTAATTCACGACGTAAAGCACTTTCGCAGAAACTTCGCCTCGTCCCCGGCCCGTCAGCCTCTCGCTACTTGAGGAACATCCGGATAGAAGCAATCCTCACTCGCGGCAATCTCGGCACCGTTTATCGTATCGCGTGTAACGAGAGGACTTAACGAAGAAACGCGAATGACACGAACGAGGGATAAACGAATTGATTCCTCCCGTCACGATGACTAAGCCGAATTAATGCGATACCGCCGGTCACGCTACCGCGATACTCTTGCTATCGATTATGGTTATTCGTTAAGACAGAACCTGCGCGGGAATGCTCTGTGACTTTCAACTACACTTTCAAATACACTTTCAACTACAGCTAATAGCCTTGGTTTGTGTATTTCCGGAGGTAATATAGCCCTTTGAATAATCAAACAAGTTGGAAGCGACGTCACCTTCAGCAACTATCATCAGATCTATACACTTATGTGTGTGTGTGTGTGTGTGGGGGGGGGGGATAATGCTACCAACTTAATACTACCTATATATAGCTAGGCTAAATACATTCCGACAAACGACGAGGAAAATCTCGATTTCTCTTTCGACTTCGTGTGTGAGCGCCTTAGCAAAATATCTAATTTACATACTGGTAAATTAACCACGTTATAATAGCAGTGTTGTTCTACGAGTTCTTGTTTGCAACTCTTGACGAGGAATAGAACTTTGATTCTGCTGGACACGTAACACGTACAAGTTCTTCCGACAATGTGGCCAAATCCGATCAAGTTCGAGTCTATGGCAATTTTTCTATAGATGTAGGCTCCATCGATCTTTATTCTGATGCTTCCCGTTCTCTTCAGATTTAATGAGCACTTTCACAATCCTTAAATTTGCATACTAATAATCAATGTTAGCCGTCGTTATAGACTGTGACGAGATCGCTCGTCAATCCTTCGGGAAGTGTGTCTAACGGTCACGGCCTCGATTACGTGGCCTTTATCTCGTGCACTTTAGGGATAATTATTCGACACGTGAATATCGCTCTAAAAACTGTTTTAGGAACTGATAATTTTGTCTCAATAGCACGTCATATCGGTAAACAAATGTACACATAGATGAGTACGAGTCTCGTAATATTATAGATAGTCGTCGGCTGAGACGCACGGATAAATATCGTGTCTAGCTCGCGCCTTACGCCGACTATACTGAATCAGACATCTGTTTGAGGCTCGCTCTTATAGGCCGCTCACTTTGATTAGGCCCCTTTTTCGACGACGACCGATGTCCATATAGTCCGCCATGGGGGCCTTGGCTTGCTGACCTCTGCGGGAAAATGCTCGGGGAATCTCTTTCCTCAATGAAGGTAATAAGTGGAAGCTGATTCGAGCGGAAGCGCTTCAAGTGAAGCACGATGCGTGCGTAAAGATAACAAATACTTTGATGTAACTTCATTATTTCCAAGACACGTGAGAGCATTCAGACGATCGAGCTGTTTTATTGATATTATTCTAAGAAACTTTAATTCGATATAAGAGACGGTATAATATTTCATCTTCACGTTCTTACAATTTAATATTTTTAAATTTGCAGTCTTCAGGTTTTCAATTCACATTCTATTTAAATAGGTAGGTATATTGAAATTTTAAAATTTTATTAGATTATGAAATCATTTATCTGCTATAGCATGACGAAAACAAGATATATTAAATAAAAGTTGCATGCTTATCAGCGTGACTTCGTGGGATAAACCACGCGATTATAAAGTTAACTTTATCGGTCAGACTTTATGATTATACATAAGTATTATCACGAATACTACATACGAAGCCGGTCTTAAGTAATCAGCTTAATGATTTATGTAAAAAATATATTGACGCAGCATATAAACTTTTTACTGGTATAACAAACTTTGTCAGGTTTTATATAAACATTGTGTGAATGACACTACAAAATTTTACTTACTAAAAATACTTTTGCAAAATCTTTAATATTTTTATTTAAAAGATATTCTTTAATGTTTTTAAAATCTTTCTTTAGTACAGGAAACAAAATTCTTTCTCATAATCCTCCGAATCAATTCTTGTGATATTTTATATATCATCATAAATATTCCCATTTATTACATATAATATATGTTATTATGTATTTGCAATAATACGAGAGATTATTTAACAAGTTTATTTTGCTTTGACGGTGCCACCTACATAATCTATAATATTTTATTCGAGTTTTAGAAACGCGCGCAATTTTTATTTTATAATTATTTATTTTTTTATATAAAATATCTTATATTATTATTTACAAGCAAGCGTTATATAAAGCGTTTTTGTTATTCCCTGTTTTGACATATAGTCGAACGTATGAATGCCATTATCTATCTTCAAAGTGATATCTATAAGAACGTCACTCTCGTAATTCGCGCAATTGATAAGTCGATACTTCGTGGAATGTACAATTAAGACATATATTAAAAATTACGGGAAAATCTCTAACGATAATAAACAATGTCACAATTCCGTGAAAAATAACAAAGATTGATGAAGGTGTTTACGTGCATTTTTCACAACTAACGCTGCTTCAACGAGCTTTCGGTACCGAGATCGATTATTTGAATTAATTTACGTTATTACAATTCATGTCATTTATGTTAAATTAGCTTGTCACATACTTTAGGGGTTATCTTGTCCCCGTACAAGAAAAGACAGTTTAATTAATGTCAGATTAATTAATCTCATACAATGTTATGAAAGGTATTTAAGGTCCACACCAAGATCGGAGCCACGCGATGCCGGCTAAATACGGACACTGTGTATTTCCTGCATCTATGCCGGATATACAAGAGGGTGGTTCTATGGATCCACCCCTCGTAATTATGGACCGCCGGCTATTCGGAAATTAATCGGGTCACCTGTCCTCCTCGCTGTGACAATCAACCCTAATTGCAACCACTGGCAGTGAAACTGTTTGAGAAATTGCTCAAGTTCTCACTGTCTCTCAATAAGATTGTGTTGAAGCAAACAAGAGTGGTTATAGTAATTATTGATTGTATTAAATCTACAATTTTTCAGAAAATCAGGTATTTTAAGAAATATCTAAACTCAATTTTATGAAAAATTAGTTACAAAAAGTTTTGCAGAGTAGTAAGACGGAGGAAAGTGAAATCTATCATTATTTCTGGCACAGTTTATACGATCGATGGAACTTATATTTAAAGGGCAAGATAAATTGCTTTGCGAGGACGTTCCAATAGTGGAGAATGCCGACTAGTTAATTAAGCTTTCTTGTTCGATTCATGTTTTAGTCGATGCGGTGATCTAAAAAGGTTAGCCTTAGGAAATCAAAGTTAACTAATCGAGTCTATCGATGCAGTAATTACGATTAATCATATATAATAATTTGATTAATCATACGATCAAACATAAACTGTAATCTATGAATTTACGGAAATTAAGGCGGAAAGAATCGCTTTTTAACTTTATTGTATGTTTTACATGCGTGGAATTGTAATTATCTCGTAGAAGCGTACCCGCATAATGAGTTCATCGCTAATTGCACAGAGTGTTTCATTTTGTTTGCGTTTATTGTACAAAGAGAGATTACGAATCCAGGTTAACCGATTGTGTACATAGTGTATAGTGTGGATGACGTTATTGCCTATAATAACCATGACGCTAATTATTTCCATATTTGTACGATATTGTATTGAAATTATGTTCTTTGTGATAAATGTTCTTTGTACGGAACCATTTAAATTATTAAAACGAGAAATTATGTATGTACGTTTTATCGCGTGTTTAAAATATTTAAAACGCATTTCGTGTCGGCTATCTCTCACTCGCGATACGCAATATATTACTATGCAAAACAGTTTCGCATCTGTCATTGGACATTTGCAGTTCCGATAGACGCTCGACAATTTGAATCTATAAGCGAGTCTCGAGTGGCCACTACCTTCAATTGCAACTGCAGCTGACAGAGAAGGGCCGACACGTCGCGACGCTCATTCGTACGAAGTGTCATCTTTATCGCGCCATCAAGAATCAGCCAGCGTGGTGCCGAACGTTTGCCCATTAATGTCTGGTAACCTTGACCCGATATTCAGACAACTCGCCGGCAAGGCTTAACGACTCGACCTGGCGGATTAGATTGAGACTGCCTCGATATGTGCATACGTATGTGGCCGGGCCGGGCCGGGCCGTTTGTATACATGCACAGTCGTTGATTCGCGGAGTGTTCTTCCTAGATTTATGGACTACAAAGTGGTCCAGGGTCGCGTCTACATGCCGTTCACTGGTGCAGACGAAAATGAAACCGCGATAACAATTACGATTTCATCCCCAGCTCCCAAATGTGCACGTCATGATCAAACGCGTTTGATTCTTACCTTCGAGTTACTTTAATTATTGAGGCGATTGACCGTGTGAGCTGTTAACGCTTCGCTATTTTTCATTTAACATAGAATTAGCGCGCGTGTCTTTCGATCTGTTTTATTTATTAATTTATGCATCCAAAATACAAATTAGTTTGTACATTCAATTTTTTTATTATATTTTATCAATGACACTAATCTTTTTTCTGTCCTTTTGCAAATATAGCACCACATCTGCATGCATCAACGAATTGCACATTGCATTCACGCATTGCTCGAGACTGTGTGATGTGAGTGAGATCCGTATACGTATTTACATACGGTTTTTCAGGGCAAGCCGATCGTCATTCGTAACTGTTGGAGCTTAAGAGCTTAGATTAGATAGCAGGAAGCGACGTGTACCATTCTGCGGATCCTGCTCCTATATATCTTACAACCGAACTAGCGCAAGGTCGGCAGCGGTTTCTCGTCAGAATCATCTTGCCAAGAGAAATTTCTGCTTCTTGCGATTCATTTTTTTTTGTTTAATCCCTTCATTCATTTTAACTCACTCGCTCAGACATATCCCAGATTACGTGCGATATACAGCTTTAACTGTTCACTTTTATCAAATAAAATTCTAAGTATAAAGCAAAAACGAAAAGTCAAAAAATTTACGCCCGAGTAAATTTAAAAATATAATGTAGTTAAAACTGAAATCGTAGGAACAAGACTTTTATTATTTCCTTGTACATTATTTATGTATATTTCGAGACTTAATTCGACGAGGTATATTCGCTTTAAAATTGAATAACAATGATATTTAATGTAATTTAATGCATAAGAAAAAATAAATACTAGTATGCTGATCAAGAAGAAATAAATTCTCTTCGCTGCTGACCTTGCATAAAAAGACCAAAATTTATTTCTTTCTGTCAGTATTTATCATTGGATTACGAAACAAGTTTAAATGGCTAGTCGGTAACGAGCATCTATTACTAAGCGTGACACGCGTTTTCCTACCTCGATCAATTTACATCACGTAACATCCGTGAGTGCAACATCTGTGAAGATCCTGTTATGACAGCGAAAAATATGTTTACAGATTTATTGGATTTCCTTCCTTGTAGCTATATTCATCATAAATCTGTCATGGGCAAAATATAAAATTTAGCGTGTATCAGCAATGAAGGGTATTAAAAAAATAACGATAGAAAAAATAAACTTGTAGAAAATTCGTAGATAAAAGAAAAAAAATATATATGTATATATATATATGCATGTACAACAACAACCTATATATAATTGCAGTGCAGGCAAACTGCTGTGAGAGAAATTAATCCCGAACTTGCCTATCTAAACTTCTACAATTTCCCTCCTCTGCGCCAGTGTTTTCCACATTATACATCGCGTATTCGCGAGCGTGGTATTATATTCGCATTTGTCATACATTTGCATAAACTATGAATAAATGCATCTGCATTAGTGTCTTAACGCAAAGATCTATAATATCTTAAGCTGCACTCGCACACTCGTACAAGATTTAATTAGAAAAATAACAGACAATGTTCTTCGTATGAAAAATGCGGATGAAAATTAAATCGCTTAGCTACCTTTTTGCAGCTTTACGTATGAATATTAAAAGTAAAATTACATTTTCTCCGTTAGATAATTAAATGCATGATATTGAATCACGAAATATAACCGCGTGATTTATATACACTCAATTAATTATTAATATATAAAAATGGTAATAATTTAACATTATACATTATTATAAAATTATAAAATAATAATTGACGATAATAAATTGATTAATTAATAATTAAATTTGCACATCCGGTAGAAAGCATT